TAAAAAATATTTTTGAGAGATGTTTTACACATAAACGGACAAAAAATCTATTTTGGTGTTGTTTTTAAGTCTGGGTTAGTTTTGAGCTATTTAATTATTTATTGTTTTGTTTGTAACTATACTGTGTTAACTCAATGTCCCGATTATGTACCATTTACAAGCACCAACCTATTTGGAACTTATGCTTATATAACTAAAGAACCTACCTTGATGGTTTCCCAAATCAAGGCGAAACGTCGGTGTTGATTTTCCACTTAAATATAAATCTTTCAACCCTTCAACAGCTAGATTCTTTGCTTAGTTGAATAATACAAAGGGGAAGAAATGGAGAATAGATCGAGAAATTTTTAGTCAACCAAGCCCAAAAAGTTACAACTTTGACGACATTGAAGAAACTACTGTTACTTAAAAAGTGCCTGAAGAACGCGTCTTATTTTTTTAATGTTACAAGCAGGTTATAGGCATGTAGTCAAAACTAAAATTTTGACAACTCGAAAACAAAAAATGATACCGAATTTTTGAAAGCACCAATAAATTTACCTCAAAAGGTAACACGTCTAAATTTACTCACCCTGTACTGTACATGTGACCTATGCAAACAGAACTGCTAGTAAGTATACAGATAAGAATGAATGGATGTATAATAATAAATTTACTTTTTTTTTAATTCATACAGCTTTCATTAGAGCCCCTTCATAAAAAAAGAAATACCTATGACAAGTTTATTAAGAATCCTACAATCCACCTAACAAAAAAAAAAAACGTTCCGTAATGTTCGCATTTCTACAAAATTTTACTGTTTAATTCGTAAAATCGGATTTTTTTTAAATTTATTATTAATGAGGGAATTCAAGATTCCATTCAACTCTATATCTTCACACATATTTAAATACATTAATAGAAGCATATTATTTCTCGAGACAAACAGGCAAAGTGACCGAATGATGCGATTGTAAAAAAGGGATTAACGAGATTAGGACAAAGACAAATAGGTATAAAATGGGAGAGAATGTAAAGACTAATAAAATATAATGTTTTTTAAACATGTAAGAATAAATACATGACGGAAAAAGTACTGTAAATTTCTCAATATTTGGACAGACGACTGACTAAACATTAATCGCTTTGTTCTTATCGTTTTTAAATGCAAACTAAAAAAAGTACATTATTTTTCCTCTGCAATCGCTCTTTCCATTAGGAAGCATATTCTTGACCATTACTTATTACTTTATTACATTTTTATACCCCGATCTTCCCTAATGCCGGAAAAATTAATTGAAAAATAAACCACAATTTTCACAAATAAAACAGTTTTTTATCCGCATTTTTAACTATAAAAATGTTTATCAGAAACCAATAAAAAATTGTAATATACAGTACACAACGTAATAATACACAGATTAGATAAATATCAAAAACCAAGTGAAAGACATTCATCTACATTAGCAACGTTAAATGTTATGAAATCATAATTATTTTTTTTGGCTGCATATGTACAAAATAAATAGATTATTTCCTTGAGATCGAAAAATTTAGTTGTTAAAAAAAAATCGACTCGCAGTGTAACATTTCGGTCTTTATCTAGATTGCAGCGCCATCATGTAATTTCAGGCATTGTTACCATGATAACTTCAATTTAAAATACCTGTGATTTTAAACACCAATAGCAAACTATTCATTCTTTACATAGGCCACCCACTTCACTGCAAAGTATTCGGAGCACTAGGCTACAGTAGCAGTTTTGAATTCCTTTCTTATTGAAGAGTTAGCTTTCAATATCAGGGTTTAAAATATTCACTAGTAAGTTTTAACCACATAATATCTGTCCACCAACGACTATTTTATTACATTTGGGTACTACTTTAGGTACATGTCATTTATCAAGAGATAAATACTGCATTTTTAAATCAGACAGGGGCTGAAGATCATGCATAATTTCGAACTATAAAATATGTTTTGCTGATGTCTCACAATAAGTTTAATATATTTTGGTACATTCAGCTCGTTTAATAAGTGATTAAATTATTAAAAGAAATAAAAACGAAGTTTTTAACTTGGGGGTTGAAGGTGCATCCCGGTAATTTCCAACTATAAAATTTTACTGATAACTTTAATACGTTTTAGTACTTTTAGTGCGTTTGATAAGGGAGAAACCTATAGGGAAATAAAACCAACGTTTTTAGATTAGGGGTTGAAATTGCAAACCGATGATATTCAAGCATAAAATTCTATTCATAACTTACAAATAAGTTTCACGAAAAATTTTACTTGCCTCCACAATACTATTTCGGTCATAACGATTATTATCTAAAGTATACAAAAGATTACTAAAAAAGTGTTTGAACAATATATACTATTACAAAGAACGGGGTGGGGGATCATGATAACAATTTACACAAAATCAAAGGGGAATTATGAGACACTAATTCTAGTTGATTATTAACTAGATTACAATTATTGTGAACAGCTTTAGAAGTTTTTCATCAGAAATAGTTTTCTGCTTTTTGGGATGATGCCATGTAAAACATTGTCAAAGCAATTAAAATTTTTCATGGAACTTATTTGTTTTCTTCTCTTCGTTTTTTTTTTTTAAAGTGCACTATGTAAAGTTTAGTTTTAGGGAGAAATTAATTTATCAAGAAATAAAAACGACGTTGTTCGATTGGAGGTTGAAACTTCATTCCAGTAATTTCCAGCTATAAAATTCTTTTCACCAGTGCACTGTAACAACCTTAATGTATTTTACTACTTCCAAACGTTTTTAAATTGAGGCTGGAAACAACACTATGGTGATTTCCAACTATAAAATTCTTTAAACTGATGCCTGACATGAACATTAATATCTATATTTTGCAACTTTCAGCTTGTTCAATAAAGGAGAAATTATAAAATTATTTTGAATCATGGTCCTTAACAACATTAATACATTTTGGTATCTTCAGCTTATTTTAGCTTGTTTATTAAGGGGTAAATGAATTTATCAATATATAAAAACAAAGTTTATAAACTGGGGGCTGAAAATGCACCCAGGTAATCTCCAACAATAAAATTCTTTTCACCGATTTAACTTTATCGTTTATAAGGCAGAAATGGTAATTTTTTACTTTAGTTGACATTGGAATTGAGACATGAAGTTTACTCAGGTAGGTAGTACTCACCGATTAAATAACTTTAGGAGCCTGTATCTCAAGCTACATTGGTTTCCGCACGGAATTAATGCTACCACACGATTCTACTTGGTGAGTACTACCTACCTGACTAAACTTCCTGTCTCAATTCCAATGTCAACTAATGAAAAAAATAACCGCAGAAATTAATTTTAAATTTGAAGAAAAGAAAAAATGAATCCTACCTTTCTAATGCGGTGTCGATAATTTGAAAGCATATTTTTGAATATCAACACATCGTAGTGTCTACCTCTATTCATACATTGTCAACCACCCAAAATACTGCGTAGGAGAATAGTTCATGTACTAAAACAATGACGATTTTATTTTATGTAAAATTAAGAATAAATGTTAATTACCTTTTTTTATAATTCGTAAACAAATTGTTCGGATGTTGCTATGGGATCTATGGGATGTTTGGAAACAAAAACAACAGATACTGATCATCCTCAATTAAATGAAGATAATTGTCAATAGAAATAACCATGATTTTTAAATTATGATTACTGTAGGGGACGTAAAGTTAAATTTATTTTCCGTATTTCCTCCAATAATAAACATTCACAAACGACTTCCAATCGACTGAATACGTGGAGTCTATTATACAATTAATGAAAAAAAAACCGTTAGCTAATCGTACTCATAACTAATAAATTAATTACCATTAAGTCACCATAAACACTTTTTATAAGAATTGAAATGTTGAGTGTGAAGTTAGCAAATAATCATAGATAATAGATATACAAAGATATAGATATGCAAATAACAATAGATTTAAAGTCATATTTGTCTATGAGCCATACAATATTATCAAATGCTATTAATTACGTTTTCGTTACGTTTAATCATCGTTGGTTATTAAGTTCCATGCTTGATTACGTAGCATTTGTAATATGAAACCTCCTAAAGTTTAAGTACATAAATAACATCGTTAATTTTCATTTTTTCTTGAAAAATAATAAATTATTTAGATCCGTTAAGCACCCATAAACTTAAGTTTATAATTAACAAATTAATTACCTTTGTTATTGATTAGTCACAAAAATTATTTGTGTAAGAATTCACAAACAGACTTAAAAATTTAATTTTTGAATTATTGTTTATCAGTAACTATTGGTAACAAATGAATGGTATAACCTCAATCTTAACAACGTAAAACAAGTAAAAAAAAAGTAAATAAACTGTACTTACATATAAAGAAAATAATTTAAAATGAACATAGCATGTTTATTTTCTAACACGAAGAATACATCCAAATTGTCTTATATACTGCGCGGTTGCAATTTTTTTCAAATAAACTGCCTTTCATCGACTACAAAATATACAGAGGAATCATCGTCAATGAGTCCCAGAATGAAAGAATTTAAGAAAAAATTACGTGAAACAGCGTCTGTTGAAAATTTAGAAGAAATTGCAGGTAAAGATCAAAATGAAGAAGAGCTTCTTCCACCATGGCCGAATAACACCAATCCTCACACAGGGGAAGTTGGAGGTCCAAAGGGACCTGAACCAACAAGATATGGTGATTGGGAAAGAAAAGGAAGGGTTTCTGATTTCTAAATTGTAGTTAAACGGTAAATATTACTATGTATTCATTTTACAATATTTATGTGTGATGACAAATATATATAAATATAACTTTTCAGNATTCTCACCTTAATTAACTGTAGACTGTAATGTTCCAAAGTTTGCAGATGTAAAAAGCACACCGAATCCAGGAGGAATATCAGCAGTAAATTTGTTGTTTCAGTGGAATTCAAATAATGTCCTCTTGCTCTCACTCAGCTGCTGAAAATTAACTACATAATGTTGCAAGTTGAAGACGAAAACAGCAAATCAAGGATATAACTCGGGAAAGACGATACCATTGTAGACATTGGTTGTTTCACTATGATCAACCTGAACTTGTAATTCTCTCTCTCTCTCACGTTTGGACGATCTGTAGAAATAAACAAAAATACTTCAATTAAAGATTAAATTAAGCAAAACATGAATAAACAACATTATACAATGGTCGCGGGTTGTCAATTTTATTCATGACAGATAAATGTTATAGGTAACAGAAATAATCATAGACGTACAATCTCAATTTATTACTGTAGACAATAGATAATTGTTGGAGAATAAAACTATAGATACCATAGAGGGCAAATACCATTGATGACGATGAAATGTCATGGTAGAAGACAACATCACATGTGTAACCTCAAATACATTAGCGTCAATTAGAATGCATGTATTTTCTAAAAACTGCAACTTTTGAAGTCCAAGGGGAAGGAGCATTAACGGGTTTCTACCTCTCCATGTTTCGAATCTTTCTTATTTTTTGTCTCCTTGTTCATTTAATGTGTTTAAATGATAATCTGCTGAAACATATTAAAGTTAGTTTTATCTTAAAAATTGTCTTAAAATATTAAGAATCATAATTTCCATCAATCAAATAATAGACTATCAAACTCAATAACTATCACAATTGAAGAGTAAAAAAAATATAATAGTAAGTAATCTTTCTTAAACAAATGGAATACAAGATTTGGAAAATCACACACCATTTTGTAAGCACATCATAAAATAGTTTAAGATTTCTTACCCCTTCCAAGTCCAAGAGAAAGAAACGTGAGTGAGTCTCTTCTTCTCCACGTTTCGGCTCTTTTTAATTTTCCCTTTTCACGTTCACTTATGTTTCAATGCAAACCTGTTGAAACAACTTAGTACTAATTATATGTTCACCAGGCCTTGTTATTTTATTATTAATGATAATTACCATTGTTAACACCCTATGAAGTTTTCGGCCAGCTCATTAGAAGCATTTTTGGAAATAAAAAAAAGTATGACTACCACAAACATTGCATCTGTAAGTAGTTTGCCCATCTAATCCAAGGATGTTATCTCACAACAAACCTATATTACAGAAAAAAAAACAGTCGTTAAAATCCAATCTACAAAATAACACGGCAAAAATAAGAATTGTTCTAACAGAAATTTAGAATTTTAAGGGGAGAATAATATTTTGTTTATAAATGGAAAGCAATTTTTCACAACGTGACCCGAACGATATGAAAAATCTACAATCATCGCCTAAAACAGTTTTTAAAATTCAAAAATTCTAACAAAATCCTAATTATTCATCCTTAAATAAACGAAGAATCTAAAAATTTACAGTAGATGAGTGGACAGGCAATACACCTAGATTGACCACCATATTGGAGCACGAAACCAGTACACTACCGAGTCGTTCACGCCAAAAAAAATCCAAGCAACGGTAATCGAAACCAATCAATTATTAAATAGATACATATTCCATACAATCAAATGAAAATCGAATAAGATTAGAGTTAAATACCTTCGGTCATCGCCTCCGTTCATGGTCAACAAAAACTGCGGCTCGTCACCTCCTTCAAACTGAAACAGAAGACAAGATGACAGATGAGACCGTCGAAAGACCCATAGATAAAACATCTTTTTATAATTCCGCTATATAGATAATAGGTTTTATAGGTGCGTTCAATTATACTAACTCACTTTAATTTGTAAATAGGAACTGACTCGCCTGTCAGAAAAAATAGCCCGATAAAACCACGCGACTAACAAAATATATAATAATTCTTATGTGACATCAAAAACATATTTCAATAGTTATCCAGAATGAAGATAACCTCATACATATACACCTATTTTTGCGAAAATATAAAAAAATAGAAAACCTAATCGATCAAGGGAATTTTAAGTAAACAAAGAATCTAGGAATTGAAGGGTTGGAAGATTAATATTTAAGTGGAGAACGAGAACCAACACCGACGATTCGCCTCCATTTGGGAAACTATCAAGGTAGGTTCGGTGCTTGTAAATGGTACATAATGTGGTGTAAATAGACATTGATTTAACACAGCACAGTTATTCATAAACCAATAAATAATTAAATAGTTAATAATTAACACTGACTTAAAAACAACGCGAGTACAATAAGTTAATTCAATATTCAAACGGACAAAAAAATTTTTTATAAGAAAAGTTTTTTGTTAATGTTATTAGAATATGGCAACAATGAAAATTTTTCCAATAGAAATTTAGAATTTCCAAGGTAGAAAAATATTTTTGAGGGATGTTTTGCACATAAACAGTTTACAAAATTCAAATATTTAAATACAATCTTAATTATTGGACGTCAAATAAACTAAGAATCTTAAAATTCACAGTAGATGTGTGAACAGGTAAAATGCCAAGATGTTTTCCATCCGACTCCATAGTGTAGCTCTAACAAAATGTATGAATGTATTTGTACCTGTTTGTGTATGTGTGCCTACAATCTAGAGTCGAAACGACGGCACTGACGCCAATTCTTTAAGCCCTATCCCGGTATGTGTGTGTTTGAAGAAGTTTCACTTCAGTAGCGTGTTGTATAATTACACGTTGTATTTTTTTTTATATATAAGTTGATGATGACGATCTATATATAAAAATCTTAAAAGGGGATAATTAAATTAAAATATTTTTGATTAACAAAAAAAGACTACATTAGACAATACACACTAAGATGACATATATTTATTGTTATTTACGCTAGATTTGAATAAAAAAAAGACATTTAATTTGCATTATCATTATTAATAAGTAGTTATTAAACTAAAAACGTAGGTACCATGATAGCATTATTCAATTCATTCCTGTACTAACGCGGGTACTCTTTAGGGGCAACTTTATTAAAACCAATTTTATTGTTAGTTTAAGCCTTTTTCTCAGATTACTACGCTTTATCTGAACGGCTGGTAGCGGTCACAGTATATCTCCGAGTCCAGAGTTGCGTATAGTGACATGTTTGCGATTAATACAAATTTCAATCTCTTATATCTCAAAA